TGTTCCTTGTGGAGAAGCATAGCCTCCTGCTGTAAACGTGCCCTCATATTGGCCTAAGGTAGAATCACAACCTAAGGGCAGAAGCACCAATTTGGTAGTAAGGAGGTCTGGGTTGGATGTTGCTCACTTGTGAATATAATTGCATCTTGTTTGTTCGTAAATTAGTGTAATTAAAAACTTTCCACAGACCTAACATTGGGGAAGGAGGAGGAGAAGAAAAGGAAAAGATTGCTTCATGTTCTCCTACAGAATGTGGTCATTTCTGACCCATTCATGCCACATGGGACTTCCTGTTTGGAAGCATGTGCTCTAGGAACTGTATGCTTGGCAGTTCAATTTAAGAGTTGAAGACCTTAGTAATGAGAGAGACTATTTAGCCTTTTAAACAAGTCATCAACTAACTCTTTAACTGTCTAGGGTTTTCCAGTCCTTAGTGGACTTAGTTAAAGCTTAGTTAAAGCATTCAGCAATGCATTACGGCATTATTCCTTACACGAGACTGTCCCTGCATGTGTGGCTTGATTATAATCATTTAGCTGTCCCCTAAGGTAGAATAGCAGTAAAAAATAGTACTTTTTCTCATCTCTCATATGCAAAGCGAGCCGTGGCTTGTCTAGATATAAGGCTGCGAGTGACTACTAGCCATGCACAATGACCACTCCTGCGCCTACCTGTGGGCAGGCTCATTGATCAGATTGTTTGGAGAGGAGAGGGGTTAGAAGCATTGGACTTCTCTTTCTTTTTTCTTTTTTTTTTTCCCTTTTTTCTCTCCTTCCAAAGGAAAGTGAACTTGCTTTTGTCAGTGCTCAAGACTGTGCTAATGAGACTTGATTTTTCTTTCTTCCATTTTTTTTTCTATTCTTGTATCACAAAAGGCTCCACTTCCTCTCAGAGCAGTGCAGTTTCCAGTTCACCAGGTGTTCCTTTTTAATCAGGGAGCCAATTGCCTACAGTCAATAAAAGGCTTTAAGTGAGGAAGTAATAAACACTTTCTCTTATAACAAGAATAGAATTTGCAATCAAATAGTGACATGCCTAATGGCACTGAAATGTTATTACACCAACTGTCTTGTATTCTCATAAATATGCCTCAAATTGGGTATGAGGCAGAACTATGTATTAGATGATATGGTGATATGATGATATGAAGTTACTAAGCTGCCTGTTTGGTGGAGAGGAAACCTCGACAATTGAATGAATATGGATTTTGTCCAACAGGTTCAATTAACTCAAACCTCTTACTATTGCAATGAAGCCAGTAGATAAACAAGTATGTATGAGAAGGTAAGACAAAAATGAATGAGGCAGGACATCAGAGAGCATTTTTCAAAGCTGGATTGAATTTGTGTAGAATTCTGCATGAGGTTCCTTTTTGTTGGCTGCGTTATATGTTAATTATCTGTTGAAGACTAAATAGGAAAATTTAGTGTGTATGGAGAGTGCAAAGTTGCTTGTGAAGATTAATCCATAAGCTGTAGGACAGAGACCACTGAGAAGACAAAAATGATACTTCTAGAAATTGCTGTTGTGTTCCTTTGAATAATTGGAGTAGATACTTAGCTACAAAAAAGTGCGATATTTCTAATAATCCAGAGTATGCCTGGCCTGGTTTTGTGGCTCCCAAGTGAACTCAGGGCTACCTGAATTTCTACTGTGTAGGTCTTGAGTGAAGAGGTTTCCTTTTTTTGCGGAATATGTCACTGTTACCTTTCCCCACGTGTCATCATTCAGCTCTGAAAGACCAATGCTATAGGACCAGCTGATAGCTGCAAATATGATGCAAAGCACCTAGTGCTATGGAAGGTGCGTTCAGATAATTCACTCAGTCAAGTTGAGCAAAGAAAAGAACAGAGAAGATGGGGCTTGGAGAAGAAGGGAATAGGAGCGTTTCATATGAAAAACATTGAATAGATTGGTTCAGCTTAGAGATAAGTGACAGAATGGAGAAACAGAATACTTTGTATAGTAAATCTCATGAGGGAAAGTCTGCCTGGTTGCCTCTGATCACTTTTCCATGGTCACTCAAGATTGATCAACAGAACCAGCGAAAGGCAGAAAACATAACTGCAAGGTGTGCTCTATACTACATCATAGCCTGGAAATTCAATGTCATGTACTGTCCATCTTAGTCGACATTCCACAAGAGCGAAAATGTGGATAATGAGAAACAAGCAACTGTATTAAATAGCTTTTTCTAAAATAAAATTTTTAAAAAGATATATAATGATTCATGCTCTGAAATAGCTTCTGACATTAGGAAATACTGTATTTTAGCAGCTTATGCAGTTTATGTGAAGTAAAAAAAAAAAAAAAAAAAAAAAAGTACATCTCCAAAGATGTTTGAGAAGTTGTTCACATCAGGGTGGGAGCTTGAAAAGTCCTGTTAGCTCTCACTTTTATTGCCTGGCTACTCAGTATATGGAACATGGATAAAATGGAAAAACTTAACATATCTTCCTAAACAAAGCTGAAGCGTATTTGGCAGTTTGGAGTCCCTCCCCACACATCAGCACAAGCAGAGAGTGAGAGAGGAGAGTAGCACATAAGCTTGAGTCATGGTAGATAAGAGTTTCTGTAGCAACCACCTTTGAGGAATGGAAGAAGGAGAATGGAGGGTCTCAAGGCACAGCAAAGCTGTCGGCCATGGCTTGAAGAAACTCTCAAGTCATGTCCATGACTCTTTAGTCTTGGTAAGTCACAATCTAAATACAGAACTGGATTGGGATGGACTGACAACTGAGAAAATCTGCATTTCGGTGCACTTTTAGCTTTTTTTCCAGAGTTGGATTTTTATTACTGTAATTGGAAACAAATAAGTTGAATAAACTTTCACCTTTGCAGGTCAGATTATTTATCTACTATTTCATGCTGAGCATATCAAATATCAGACCTAGGTTATGTCAGCCTAAGCTCTAAATTGGTCTTGTGCAGAAAAATGAAGCTTGTAGAAACTGCATCACGTGCTAATGTCTTGTATATCAGCTTCTTTGATTTGTAGGATGTCTTAAATTATCCCTGCTGTAGATGTAAAACCTCAGCACAATGAAGTTGAGCTACCAGTCTTGCTTTTCTCAGTAGCCTGTGACAAAAGGCTTGAAAGTAGGCGATGTTGCCCCATGATACAGGAGATGAGAGGTTTAAGACTTCTGGCCTAATAGAATCCGTGGGCTAGGAGCAATCATAGTAAGAACGATGTGACAGACTTTTTAGCAAAGGGTATATAGATTTTTGAGAAGCAAAGTGGAGGTCTGATGTGCAATTTATGTGCCTGTTATGACTCATTAAAATTGAAGGGAAGGGTGGGATGTGGAAAGGAAAACATAGGAGGAGAGAGCTGGTGGACACATCTCTTATCACTCAAAATAACTCCTTCTGCTTAATTCCTAGGCACCTTATGCCAACAATTTGTACCTAAGGATCTAGCATGAAAGCATGTTGATTGAGAATGTCAGATCTATGTCTGCACTAATGCTTTTGTTCAGAAAAGATCAACCCAGATTCAAACTGCATCCAAAAGTTATGAAGCATAGAGATAAACAATAATAACTTCCTGTGTGTATTTGGATGTTGAACTTGCCCTAGGCTGACGTATTATCTGAAAGCTATTGGGAAATTAGAGGGAACTCTGAGAACAGCTTAAAGCATGACTGTGGGTTGGGTAATTACTTTTGGAAAAAGTTACAATAATGGTTTTTGCAAATGGGCAGCTGCACTGGGGGAAAACACATCATTAAAAATAACAGAATAGTATACACCTTATAAATTATTGATTATAGTTGTTAGAATCAATAGTATCGAAAAGAATTTGGAAAAGAAAGGTTAATAACAGGAAAAACTGTCTAGACATGAGGTCTATCAGGGCCGTGAAAGTATTTTAGAAGCAAAGTGATGGGAATCCTGGTAATTAGGATATTTGAAAATAGAGCTGGTAATTCATTATTAAATGTAGAAATCTGACCACTGTAAATGCAGAGTTGACATCTGAATATATCTTAGCCTGTTCAGAAGTTACAGCAGTACAGAAAAACTGAAAGGTGTCTTTCTGCTTTAAAGCTGTATCCATGCGTGTCTCTCCCCAAACACCCTCTTCAGATTACAAATATCTCTTAAAGCAGAAAACTCCATGGGGCATCTTCAGGGAAGATTTTTTTTTTTTTTTCTTCTGTGGAGCTTGGGAAAGTTCTGCAAAGGTGTGATGAGTGGTAACACGAAGTTGCTGTCAATGAATTACCTGTGGTTTGTCCCTGTGACTTGTCACTACTCCTCTGCCTTAGGCTACTTAAATTGCCAGGTTTGCTGAGGCACAAGTGTGAGCCCTTTTAAAGATTTGCAGTAAATTCAGAGTTCACATGTCTACCAAATACACAACTAGCACAGAAAAAAAAATCCTCCTCAGCAACTATTTCCTTTGCTGCCACTTGCTGCTTGTGACAGGTATATCTTGAAAGGAGGTGTATTTTGAGCTAAGAATTTGTGCTACATAGGTAATAAGAATGATGCATGTTTCAAAGTGTTTGGATACTTCTACACATTTTAGAATCTCAGTTTGCCTTAGACAGTGTCTTGATGAGTATAGACAATTCTTGTACAAAATGAAGATGACTTGCCTTTCTTCTAGTGCACCTTCCCAAAGAACCTAGTTTTAATTTATTCTGAAACTTCTTGGCAATGATCATGCAGTGCAAATTAATCTTAAAATGAAAATCAGTTATACTAACCTTTTATCTTAATTGGTTATACTAACCTTTGCTTCCTTGAGGAAGAGAATTACTCTTTTTTTCAACCTTTAATGGATCTATACTGCCCCATTTGAAGTGTCACTTAAAATTCTTGCATGGAAGGTATTTAATGGCACATTTCCTTCTACTCAGGAAAGTAATGGAAGTGGTGTGCTTCTGTTTTTCCACTAAACAGTCCAACCTGCACCAGCTTCACACGGTATGCTTTTTCTCTTTTCAATGATGTCTTTATTTGACTTTATTTTTTTAATGTGATTTCAGCTTCCAAACAATTTGCTGAGGAGGTCTTGAAAGCGCACAATGACTACCGGAAGAAACATGGAGTCCCCCCATTAAAACTCTGCAAGAAGTTGAACAGAGGAGCACAACAGTGAGTTCAGTCCTTTCTTTTCTCTAACGAGATTTCTGTCATTTTTATGGTCTGACTGTGCATACTGGAGATATACTTGTGTTTTTTACATGCTAATACTCGATGAAGACTTTCTGTGTGGAGAGGCTTTATTCTCTTTCCATCCTCACCCATCTCCTCTTCTATCACCTAACACCAGTTGTTCATGTGTAAACTTGTCATCTCAATGGTGCAGATCTTCTTGCAACTTCTTCCAGATGTGGGCTACATCTGTCTACATTGATGTGCTTTCTCCTTTGCTGAGGAGATTTTCATAAAATACGCTTCACCACTACCTGGGTCATGTGGTGTATTGTCACCTGCAAGAGAACAGCCTTTGTAGCTGAAATAGTAGGAAAAGCAGCTTTTTCTCAGTGTGGGAAGTGATGACTGGTCTAAGCTCAGTAGAAGCAGGGGAAGTAACTTGAGGAAATCAAATTGTCTGTCTTCCTGCCCTCAGTGCAGAATCAGTACCCTTCTGTCCCTCTTGACATACTAGAACAGTCTTGCCTGTTTTCCAGTGCTAAAGTCTCCACAACTTCTGATCTGTTTAATGTATTGTGGAGCTATTCTTAGCTAGTTCTTATTACTGTCTTATTTAAGTCTTTCTTACTGAAATTTGAGCCCATTATTTCCTGCCCTCTTTGCTGTGGCCAACAAAGAGATGAATTAGTTTCCCTTTACAGCAATGTTTTCAAAGATGTATTTGAAAAATCTATCATGATATTCTCTTCTTCAGGCTGAAGAAGAACTCATAAAACAAAGGAAATGTGATGGAGAAAATGCTCATTAAATTATTCAGAAATCAAATGTCTTCCCAGCTCATTATAGCTAGCTAGTGGCCAGCCTCATCCCTGCAGATACAATACTGGTTGCAGAGCTTGATTTACTGTCTCAGCGTGGTGCTCTCTGCTGCATGGATGCATCTCCCTCATTCCTAGATCGGAAATCTCTAGCAAATAGTGTCCTGTCCAACACACTGTACATGGTGTGTTGACTTGTCCTTTGGTAGCGGGCAGATTCTTCCTCTGTCCTTTCCCGTCGCCCCCACACATGCACATTCTTTTGAGACACAGGATAACTGGATACAGTATTCTGGGAGATGGAATGACAATGACTCATCCGCATGCCTTTGTAATCTGGGTTTTTCTTTCTTATTCTTCAAGGGTTTGTTTTGTATCTATTTTTCTTTCACTTGCTGCCTCACAGCAAGAAAGAGATTTCATTGCCTAGTCAATGGCACTTGTGTCTTCAAAGTGGTTACAGTTGGTTTAAACAAAACAGTTTGTGTGAATAGTTCAGATTAGCCTATCAAATGTACATTGCTCCACACTTATCTCTGAATTTGCTATTGCCCTTGCTGGGTATTTTTAGGTCCTTCTGGAATTCCTCACAGTCTTCTCTGGTCCCAGCTGAGCCTCCTCACTGTGAACCATAACAGCAGGAAACCTGTGTTTAGTTGCTAGGTTAGTGACTTAACTGCTAAGAGACTTGTTCAGAGACTGGTGGAACTGGCAGATAACAGGAGCCAGAAATGACTGAATAGAAGACATCAAATATAAGAAATGATATATTTCAAGACAGATTTTTCACAATCTAAATTTATGAAAGAGCTCCACCTTTTATTTAGGTGTATCTGGTATCCTTAATGCAAATGTTCTGTGCTCTGTGACTTAAAGTAAGGGTAGCAGTCATCTGTAACTTCTCGTATTTGCTGTACTTCTCTGTCCATGTTGAAAATGGTCTGTTTCCTACTATTTTTTGTCTCAAGAACTGAGACAGATTAGATGATTTGACTATTGGCTCCCTACTTTAGGATGAGGTGAGTCACCTTCCATAGATACTTGTTTATCTCCAAAGGCCTCAGATTCAGACATCAAACTTTCGGATGCCTGACCTAGAGCAAATTAATCATATCCTTTGCCTCAAATGCTTGGCAACTTTGTCCACATGCTATATTTACTTTGTTCCAGGCTTGCCTTTCGCTTTGAATGTGTGAATCTCTGCAGAGAAACATCTCAGAATTGCAGCATTATAGGGCATGAGGGGATTATCTAGTTCAGGATCTAGCAGACTAACAACTGAGAGGCTTTCATTATTTCTAAACAAAACAATTTTGCTGCAGGCTCACCAAAATGCTCTCCTCTTCTTAGTGAGGGGACAGGAACAGGGCAAAAGGAAATTAGAACCTAATAGCTAGAATGCTGACTCAGGCCATAGTGTCCCCCTAGACCAATATCCTGTCTCTGGCAGGTGCCAGGGGGGAAGATAAGAAGTAACAGAACAGAGCAAATGTACTGGTCCTTCCCCCATTATTTCCTCCTGGAAATTGCTGCTTATGGATTTCCTAAGCATCAGGCTACATCTTCATTGTATTTAATACACCTTTATGACTTTTACCCCCTATAAATTTGTCCATTTTTTTTCAAAGCCACATATGCTTTGGTGGCCACATCATCCTGTGTGATGAGTTCCAGTAAGTGGTTAATGTGTGGAAAAAGGACACTGCCATAGTTGATTTTAAATCTACTATGTAATGGTTATATGTGTTGACTCCTTTTTTTCTTTTGCTGTGAGAAACAGCAAATGGTCATTCCACTTTCACTGTCTTTGTGCTCAAGCCTTTCCAGTTTTGAATAAGAGAATTATTACCTTTTACACAGGATGTTTTTGTTAATCCTGTTGTGCAAAGTATTTTTTGTTTTACTACACTCTTGTACATGTTACCTTCTATAAAACAGTGCTGTGTATCCTTTTGTAAGTATACACAATTATTACCTGAGATTTTCCATCTGGTCCCCTTCTCTTCAATACTACTGTCCTTCTCTCAGTACTGCTGCTTGGCATATTCTTCTCAGTTTTATATTTGGGAGTTTTTTTGAGTTGTTTTTTTCATTTTCATTTTCAAATGTAAGCTTCTTCTTCTTTTTTTTTTTTTTTTAAAAAAAAAACACTTGCTTTGATTGAATCCCTGCATCAGTCTATTTATCAGGAACATTTAGGTTTATGCCTCGCAGTGCTTGCAGCAAGTCTGTGCTTATCAGCCAGAACTGTCTTAAGTGCACCTTTTATTCTGCTGGATATGTCACTGCAGAGGTCAGGATAGGCTGCTGCAAATGTATCCTGGAATTGCCCTTCTGGTTTGACAGCAAATCATTGACCTAACCTGGTTGGGAGGGTTTGGTTTCTGCTCTTTCCCGAGTTTATGAAGCCTTCACCTGTATTCTCGTTTAAGTCGTATCATCTCTTTGCAAGTGACTCCCATGCAGTGCCCTAGAAACATGAGGAGCTGGCACTTGTAGCAACTCCTGCAGGTGCTTCGATTTATCTACCTGCTGCAGCTGAGGGTACCCTGGGGGTTTCTCAAATGTGGGCAGAAAATGGTGAAGGGTTCTGGACATGGCTTCTTCCAGACCCTGCTCCATAGTGAGACAAGCCCTTACGCAGGATGGAGAAAATGCCTGGACCTCTAGACCTTCTCTTTTCCTGACTCCTAGATCAAAGCATCTTGGCCTCAGGGATTTGGAACTGAGTTACTTAGCTTAAATACTCCTCTTAATATCATTCCTGGTTTGCGTTCCTTCCTCTTCCACCTCTCATCCTGCTTCTGGCTGTGGTCAGTGACATAATGTGTGGATTCCTTTGCTAGGTATGCAGAAGAACTGGCTACCACAAGGGTCCTCAAACACAGCTCTGAGTCTGCTAATGGAAAATGTGGAGAAAACCTAGCTTGGGCATCCTATGATCAACCAGGTAAACTTTATTCATTTGCTGTCTTGCAGACATTAGATAAATGATGTATTTTAAGTACTTTGGTCTCAGAGCATGAACACTGATTGGATGTCTTGGCTGTGAAAGCACCAGCATTTTCCCTGCTCTGAAAATCCAACCAGGTTTGTAGAATGGGATGGTGGTATGTGGAGCACAGGAGTGTCTGTGCTGACTGCGGAGATGTCTGGAGTGCTAGAGAAGCTGTGCTACTTTTATGTCCAAAGTAGCAGAGAAGGAAGCCAGCAGTACCCTGTTCTTCATCTTTATCCTTAGTTTGAATGAGCCTAAGAGAGGGTGGTCCACTCGCCCGCTGTGGTGAAGAAGGTGGAGAAGTGGCCATTGCTGACCAAACAGAAGTTCCAGTTGGTGAGGGGAAAAAGAGAAAGAAAAAAAACAAGATGACACAGGATAATGTGTAAGGAAGCTACAATTAGTCTGCACTGCTTTTCCTCAAGTACTATCAAGTACTGCCTTCATTTTTCAAGGAAAATACTCCATATACATTCTGAATGGTATATATAATATACAACCTTCAGTTTGGATGCCCGAGAAGCTTAATTTCAGTCACACTGAAAGCCTGTGGTGGGTCAGAACTGTGCTCAATGGGCAATTCTTTTCTTTCTTTTCCACTGTGCAGGGTTAATGCTTAGCTTGCTCAGAGACCAGGTGGCAGGTATTAAGTGACCATTTGCTTTCTTTATTTTTGTCTTCCTCTGGAATTTTCAATACAGTTTAGGGGAGGGGGAAGCTCTGTCTGTGGACTGCAAACTCTGTTTAAAGGATCTGGGAATTTAGTAAATGAATTTTATACCCAGGGATACTGCTAGGGTATTTTGCCCTTTTCAAGAGTCTGAAGCAAGAGTTTGGTATGATACAGGGGAACACAGATGTATGACAAAGTTTGTGCAGTGCCTGTGACTCACTGGCTGAGCTTAATTCTTCCTTCTTTGTTAATACTAATGGTTCATTCTTCCGCCCCCAATGTTAAGAGTCACAGAGTTCTAATTTAGAAAACTCAGAAACAAAATAAACAGATCCCTCCATAAATTATATAATAACTCTCTTCTTTTGGATCTTATTTGTTTTTGTCTATGCTCTGTTTCCATGCATAACTTGCCAGTTTCCAGTTTTATTGCTCTTTTTTATCTACAGGACTGAGTGTCTTGCTGAGAAACTTTAGCTACATCCTCCTCTGTTCTGTAAAATTGTCACTCTATTTCCTTGCTTGCTACATTTTCTATATAGGAAGCTCTTCTTTTGTCTCCTTGGTCTTTGCATTTGTGTCACTGGTTCGTTCCTCCTCTCTCTCTCTCATATAGTTGGTTCCAGATAGTTAATTTGTACCCTACTCAGGGAGGCTATTGGGTGTCTATTCAGAGGCTTAGCAAAGGGAGCCAACCTCTTCCAGCTTCCTTCCTGGATAAAGCAAAACTCGGTAAACCTCCTGTATACCACGTATTCTCTCCAAAAGGTAATTTTTAATGCTGCTGTTTGTTTTGACTCTTGTTCAGGTCTGTAGCAATGCCACTAGATACATTCTTTGTTTTGGTGTGGGGTGGAAAAAAAAAAAGCTTTAAACTACAGCAACCTTCTAGCATGACCCTCTCCAGGCCCAAGAATCCTTTAAATTGTATTTGGGTCTTTGGAGTTACACAGCCTAAAGCTGTGGCTGGAAATGTGTTTATCCCTGTAACCCAAGAAATAGGAGACAGCTGTTTCCTCCCTCTAGTCCTTTAGAAATTGCTATGTGTCAGATTTTTCCTTGTCCATGCTCAAATAAGTGAACTCTCAGTTGCCACTAATGCTAGAGACTGCAGCCTGCCTTGGCAGCTGTAGTATATCAGCTTTCTTAGGATGCCTCATGTCATTTCTCATGTATCAGGAGACTAATGGCAAGTACTGGGTGACTAAATTCTGTCCGAGGCTAATGGTGTTGCAGTGAATATGCCACACTGCCCGTGAAAACACTGCAGCTACTGAATCTGAGATTAAAAAAGGGAAATTCAATGTGTATTGTCCCCAAAATTTTACAGTGATGGGAAGAACGTGGGTCTGGACATGGACCTGTAGGCAAGGAGGCACAGATGCCTTCTGCCCTAGCCCTGAAGGAACTTGCTCTCCCAGAAATGTTTCCTAGCTCGTCTTGCCACATTCGTAGCTCGTTGGTGCTGATGGGGGAAAAAGGACCTGGATGAGAAATTTAGAAACAGAAGATTGACTAATAGAACTTCTTGTATGACTCCTATTTAGGTAGATATGTTGTCTCTGAGGGAAGTTAAATCTCCTGTTTTCTGTCTTGTATTAATAGTTATTTGTCAGTTCTCACTGAGGCTAATGGAAGAGAGGTCGTGATAAGAGAGACTGCAAAAGTGCTCAAGGAAAAATATGAGCTTCGTGGTTCCTATTTTTTTTTTTTTTTTAAGTAAACCTCCATGCTGCTGCCCATCCTCACACAGAAATGTCTGTGTGCAGTGATTTTATTTTCAGTAGAGTGTTTTTAGCAACTTTACTCAGTGGTAGAACTTCAGGATTTAAGTATTTTGTAGTATAAGGAAAAACAGCAGAGAAATGATGGCATAAGGAACAAATGATCCAAACACCATTCCCATCTTTGCTTTGAGATACCTGGCACTGTTCTGAGAAGGTGGTGTCAACAGAATAACTCCTCCTAAAACTGAAGTAGGTCAGGTAGCACTAGGAGAAGGGTGAAGCCAAACTGTGTTTCTGTATAAAAGTGTTGAAACTATAAATGTGGTTTACAGCAATGAAGGCAGAAGGGATATTTTAAAACAACCAGGTTTATAGTAATGGCTTTTGCCAGTGAGACTGCAGAAGAGAAGCACCTGTATGGAGTGTAGGAGAGACCTGCATGCTCTTTTCCACCATTTCTGCTATAGTCTGTGATGAGAGATGGGAATGAGATTTTGTTTGTATATGTTCTTTCCTTCTAATTGAAATGTATTTTAAAAGAACCAGCCCAAACTTTTAGAGGGCTTCCAGCCCCAAAGGAGAAAAAAAAATACAGAAGAAAAATATTTCAGGGGAAGGAAAACATGTTTAATCACTAGGTACTGCCCCATCTTCTCATATTTCACATAGGAATCCCTTCATCACCCCAGGCTTGTGACATCTGGCAGATAAAGTTCATTCTCTTGCCTTTCTATAGCGCAGTTTCAGGATAGTCTTTCTAAAGCTGCCTAGTCCTTTTGTGACTTTCTCTTTTGCTGGGAACAAGTGAATCTTTAGTTTCTTACGGTCTGTGATGTAATGGTCCTCTCCGTCAAGGAGGATGACGGCAGTGCCATGTAACGCTACACGGATTCATTGCGAAAGTCAGGCAGGCATCAGCTTCTAGGAGGCTTTCACATCCTGCCTACTGTAATGCTCTACACTTTCTCCAACTGAGGCTGGGAATTAGCACATCGTAGGCTATGTTACTATGCTCTTTCTTTCATGCACAGGATTGGGGTATCCTTGCTTCATGCCATTGTCATCTTCCTTCAGTTAACCAGTTATAAACTTTTCACGTGACAATGTTTTTTTTTTTTTTTTGGTTGGTTTTTTTTTTTTTTTTTTTTAAAAAAAACAGAGCTTCTTGTTAAAGGAGAGAATGATGTGCTGGTAGTGCCATGAATCAGATCCTGCATCTGTAAAGCTCTATTTACATATTGTAGTCATTTAACCAGGTGTGCATACAAAATACCTGTGTCCTATAAGATCTGTCATGTCTGCTGTCGCATTTTTGTGTCATCTTGTCCACCATAGTTTTGAAGTCTAAGGTGGTATAGAATGATCTGCTTGGGTTTTTTAATGCCTGCTTTTTCCCCCATAAAGATGAATCTTTATTTCCATTTTAAAATTTAGCCATAAAATAGGTTGATGGGGTTTGTTGTTTCGGCCAGGAGTGTATGAAAAGGAGGAACATACTGTTCTTCCTTTTCATTCCTATTTACTTCGGGAATTAATAGTTGTTTTGCTATCTCTTTGTGTGAAAAATACATAAATGAGCTCTGCTAGAGAGCACCAGCAAAGCAGGCAGTGTGGTAGATAAGTTCACAGTTATTAGTGTACAAACCTATGTAGTGATGGCAGTTCACTCAATGTTTTGTATTCAGTGACAGCTCTGACCTCCAGGTTGTCAGGCTAACAGCGACATCATCCCAACAGATTGAAATCATAAACATCTGAAATGTAAAGATGTAACAGCTCAGTGTCTAACTTTTAGAACAGTATAAGTTTTAGACTTTTTTTTTCTTCTTCTGTAAAATAGCAAAGCATGAGTCATTGCTGTTCTGCTGCCAATAGTCCACCAGAGACCAGCATTCTGCATGACTGTGGGCTTAGCAGCTTTTGCAGCTTGCTCTCAAGTTGACTGACCTTATGCTTTACTTCCTGGAGTGCTCAGTAGAAATTTCATTATCCATATAGCTCAGGGGAAAACCTGGAGCTGCCCCAGTGTCTGATGCAAGTATTTCCTAAAAAATGGTAATGGAAAGAAATAACGTTTGACTCTTGAGTGCACAACATCTGCAGGTTCTGCTCTGAGCTTCTGCCCTCTGTGTTGTCTGTTCTACCTGATTTATTGCAGATCTACTGCATCTTGCTGTCTTCCCCCAGCTTCCCGAACTCTTCAACACAAAACAAGAATGGATTATTTCTTTGGCAAACATTGTCATGCACAGGGACCTACAGCCATGTATTGGCTGTGTCAGTGGTGATTTTCATAGCACTGCTTTTGCAGCCAGGGATCAGCAAAGGCCTTTGAGGAAATGAGCTGGCGATGCGGGACACAAGGATTTCCTTTTGGTAACTCCTAGGCACATGTACATTTGATGTCTGTCTCTAGTACCTTAAATCAGAGAGCCTCAAAGTGGAAAGCCATAGGGGCTTAAGTCCTAAGCAGGAATATTTAGCAGTTGCTTTCTGAGTCCCTTTAGTCTTTGTGGCACTTACTCCAGAACACTAGAGCATGTTGAATATCTAATTTTCTTTATTCTGCTTAGAGCTGTAAGGAGATGTTTTCATACACTTGGATTCTCATATGGGAGGCATCTCTGTGAGAACAGTCCGTATGCTCTTTTGCTCAGAGAACCTAGCAAAGCTCATTTAAGCTCATTTTCAGGCCCGTCTCAAGAAGGAGGAGCTGGTGGGAGCTAACTGTAGAACCCTAGTGCTAGCTGTCGAACCCCTGTGGCCAGAGCACTCATTCAAGACTAGGCAGGTATGTCCTCACCGCCTTCCAGTCTGGGGTTCAAACCTGTCAGCATCAGCTTCTCTAAGGACTTCACAAAAATGCCATTACCTCTTAAGCAGAGCTGAAGTGTTAACCCAAGTAGTGGAAGGGAGAGTAAATGGAATTAGGCACATCTTGGTCACTTTTTATTTGGTCAAAGACGTAATTCCTTCCTGACTCCCTTTAGAGTCCCTATTTCTTCACTACTTTGAAAACCTCTGGAAATAATTGGAGTTGTGCAGACCTGGCTCAGAGGGGAACAATATGCAGTGATTAAATGAGGTTGTAGGAATGGAGAGAATAGACAATGAGCCTTCCACCCTCAACATGAGGAAGAGTTTGCCTGCTGCATAAACTCAATTTGCTCACCAAGAAAGCAGTTATATTAAATTAAAGTCTTGTCCTGTAAACTGTGGACGGCTCATACATCAGTGTACAGTAGGATACCACTTAAGGAGGCCGTGGTACAGTAACAAATGAGCAAGCATTAAGTTGAGAGCTTGTCTGCTTTGCTTCTCTTCGTCCTTGGCTTTGGTTAGTGTAGCTTTGTGCCTTAATTTCACTAACAGGCAAAAGGGCATTGAAAGTTTCAGAAGACTTTTGGGTAGGAAAAAAAGTGCTAAATTCCTAGAGGGTTAAACATTTCTTTGAAGACAAAAGGGATTTCTCCCCCATCTTGATCCAGGCACTGTGTCCCACCAATCTTTCTTCTCTGAAAGCCCTTCTAATTTCAACTCTGCAAAGTTTTAACCACAGCCAAAAATTGGTGTGTAGTCCTATTCCCTGATGTGGTGGTGTAAGTACTGCCCTCTTCATCAGCTGTATCCTACCAAAGGGCACCTTGCTGCAGAGATCTGCCCTGCGTGGAATGACCTCTGTGTGAGCATATGGCTCCTAAATAAGTCCTCTGCGTCGGATTTGAGACAGATTATGCTGGCCACATAGATACTTCAGTGAAGAATTTGATGGACTATTTTGATTTTACTTTTTTACTTCATGATGTTGAGAAGAGCTCATGTAATTGATTGTATGAGATCATTAACGAAAGCCATTGGGCATTGTTGCTGAATAGCAACAGCTATTATGAAACCATAAATTTTTGGCTGGTAATATGTACTGCCATGTTGTCTATGTTGCAGCAATTCTCCCTGGTAAAAAGACTGTTTCTTCATGTTTATAGAAATTGTCTTAAGTTGGACATTTCTTGCTGACTGTTAACAGAAGACCTTATTGGCCAGGCTTTAAGTGAGCTACTCTTTTTGTGTGTTTATGCCTGTCATGATTCCACAGCAGATTTCTTTTCCCTTTCAGGAAAGGACGTAGCCGACAGATGGTACAGTGAAATAAAAAATTATAGTTTCCAAAATCCAGGTTTTTCTTCTGGGACAGGTAAGTTCCAACAAAGCATTGTTGCTTCAAAAGTGCAGCTTGTATTTTAAGAAATTGATTAGCTTGCTAGTTTCAGGATTTTGCAATATATTTTTTTTTAATAAAAAAAATCTGGGTGAGGGAAGGAGAAGAATTTCTGCAAGGGAATTTTAGAAAATGACAGAAGGTTTAACAGGGAACTATAGTAAATTAGCAAATAAGCAAGAATATATATATATATATATATATGTATATGAATGCAGTATTTTTTTTCCCTTCAATGCCTGTGATTTTAAAAGGCATCTTATTTTTAAGACAAATTAATTCGGAGAAGTTACGAAAAATATAATTGAGATCATACAGGCGTCTATCAAATTTATACGACGGTGTTCTCTGCCAAGTGCATCACTGAAATCATAGAGATTACTTCAGATTTGGAGCTCAGCCACAGCCCATTGGCTGTATACTGGTAATCTGATGTTGAATGAACCTAAGAACATTGTTCCTTGAGCAATGTCCGAGAGATGTTCCAAAGCTTGTTTAAGATGGGGGGGGGAAAGAAATCACTTATTTCTCCCTGTGTTTGCCTATTCACAGGGGGAACAATTGATAGAGCTGCACAACTAATGGCTGTTAAAACTTGACAGAAGGAAAAAAAAAACACAAAAAACAGTGGTATTTTGAATAGCTGTCCATTCAGACATGATTGGAGAGGGTCAGATATTCAAAGCAAGAGAGTACGCGTGTTTGGCAGTACTGCTCTTTGTCAATCATATTGCAGGGAGTAAAGACTGGTGTTTGCTGGGGAGTTTTTGGTACCATATATTCATCAAATTATTTCTTTCATTAATTTCTTAGGAGATATTCTTACTTGGAAATAGCACATGGAACTTGGAATATTGTACTTTTCAAGTCAAAATCCTAGATCTTTAGGGTTTTTTTCATGTTCTTCGGTTGTTTTCCTGTTGGAGACCAATTCAATTTTCTATGCTGCTTTGTTTTTCTTCTTCAGGTGTTAAAAAGAATTTTATAGATTTTGTACTTAAAATGAATGCATCCATTTTTTCCCTGATTCTTCAGGTCACTTCACAGCAATGGTTTGGAAGAATACAAAAAAGATGGGAGTCGGAAAAGCATCTGCTAGTGATGGTTCCACATTTGTGGTGGCTAGATATGATCCAGCTGGAAATGTAGTAAACCCAGGCTACTATGAAGAAAATGTTCTTCCTCCAAGAAAATAAGATTTCTTTTTTAAAGGTAGTCTGATTGCTCAATGACAAATGAATCTGGTTTTGGACTTGACAGTGTCTGAAGTGAAGTACAATTAAATGAAATTTCTTGTTCAATACTGCTGTTCCCTTCTTATCCCAGGGAGAGCAGTTACTTGAGTCAGTCTGTTGTCTGTAAGTTCCATTTGTTTCCGAGGGAGCACTAGTTTATTTGAAAATGAAATATATACAGATTTTGCAAAGGGTAAGAGCTTGCAAGTTTTTTTTTTTTTAATAGTTTGCATGAACTCTGGGTGAGCATGTGAGTCAGCACATGTTGGATGTCTTTTTAAAAAAGCAGGTTTATAGCTTTGTGTAAACTGAAGATACTGGTTTGTAATTATATATTCCAGATCTTTGAATATCTTTTAATAACTGTAACTTAGCTGTGTCTATACCTCTTGTCACTATGGGATCTGTTCTCTACAGATGGAGCATATGCAAATTCCTCCTTGTGAAAGGTACATGTATGTAATGCAATGGAATTCAGACCTGTATGTTTTTATTAACGGAATCTCATTGAACACTATTTAAAATATTGCTAGCAAAAATTTATCCATCAAGCAAACTCTAATGTATAACCTGAAAGCTACCAAAAATATTTTATTCTTAGCATTAGATTTTAAATATTAGCACCTAATGTATACTTGAAGTGAAGTATATTTCAAGTCCTGACCCCATCTTCCAGTTTACAGTACCTACATTGTCTTATAATCAAATTGTTTACTTCCATTAAGGAAAATGAGATATTCCCTTTCCCTTAGATATTTGCACTTGCTTTTTCTAATTTATTGAATGTTCTCAGTACCTTGCATATAAGCCATCTAATAAAATCAAAGAAATACCAGTCTTGGGACTTCTTGCAGCTAGAGAATTGGGAGCTAGAGCTGTGCATTTGTCAGACAATAGGGGAACAATTCAGTGGCCCACATATAGGTATAGGTAGATATATAATACCGGACATCTAGAAGGTGCCAGCACATCTGTGTAGAGTCACTGATATTGCACAGGAGCTGAAAGAAATGCATGTCTTTCTGGTGCAGCAGTTCTGCTCAAGGCATCAGGCTCAGAAATCTCTCCTATGTCCCCCGATTTTATGAAGAAACCTACTTGGAAGTATGTTTTCAGTAGGAAAAAAAGTAATCTTTCCTAATTGATTAGTATTGCCTCACAGAGAGCAAAAAAAATGTTTCTTTGCAGTATCTTGCCTTTTGTTTCCCAGAGAATACCTCCAGCAAGTGTCATACTATACAGACAGTAATATTACCAAATGATCCTTTGTCCCCTTTGGTAATGTCTCTGTAGGAGATATTCACGTGGTTATAATTGAGAGAAATTGACTTTGTGTTGATTTCTTAAAATAATAGTAAAAGTATTTCCCAATGTGGACAGATACCTTGAAACACCAAAGGTGTAGTTTCCTTAAAAACAAGAAGCAAAAATTCTGGAAACAATTTTTTCTCCTATTAAGTTGGGGATTTTTTCCCTGTGTGTTTGTTTTGACTTCTGAGATTCTATATACCAAAATTTGGTTCACAGAGTGCCATTGCAGATATATTTCTTTTTGTTTACACAGTTGTAATAAACTGCATTGTTATGGTTTAATATGTCACTCCAGTGCTGTATGTTACAATCTTTTTGCTGTAACCAAGAATTTACCACATAAAATGAAACATCTGGAAATTAAATATTTTTGAATACGAACTATCAAGTCTTCGCTATTATCTCAATCTTTGAGTAATCTGGAAATTTTACTTCTAAGACATTGACATATGACATCATTACTTCTATAACACAAAGAAAAGAAAAAAAGTAGCAAATATTCTAGTCCAGGAAAGAAAGGAGCAAGCCTTTCTAATAAATCAGAAATCATACATTAGATCAAAATGCCTATCATCTCTTTATACAAAGTTTCAATTAACAGTTAAATCCAAAGCTGGATAGGCATATCCTTCTCTGTTGAACTCCCATTTCTGTTTTGTTTTGTTTCTCCTGTACCCTCTCTACCTCTCAGTAAATACCCGCTTTGCTACCACTCATGCAGGTTTTTATATGTGTGTTCAAGTAGTTGCAGACTTTGGGCCTTCCCATCTACAAACATTACTTGAGAGATATCACAATTCCAAATAGAATTTTAGGCAACACCCTGTCAACTCTGAGAATATGAAAGGACTTTGCAAAACAAATGCTTCCTGCAGCTGCCATAAAGTTAAAAACTGATGTTGAATTAACTATATTAAAATACTTTTTTTTTTAATGTCATTGCTTCTATTGACTCTTCTAATCCTTGTTGGTGTAACTGCTTATATTCTACTTGTGTGAATGAATTTTCTCTGCTACATCTTTTTTTTTTCATTTATTTGTTTATGTAAGGGAGAACTGGGGCAGTGGGTGAAGAATTGATGAAACAAAGCAACCTAGTGCAGTAGTTACCTTTATTAAAAATGACACTGGCAAGTGAACTTCCAGAGCTATTTAGCAAGAGTGTTTTGAAGAAATGCAAAACCCTTCAAATAAACGCAATACATGTCATGCATTTTATGCAGATTTCAAGCAGCTGAATATGACTTTAACAAATAATAATAATTAGCACCTTAGTTTTCAGCGACTCAAGCTCATGATGTTCAATGTTGATGCCTTCTGCATGTATCTGTGAATGAACTTTGGCTGTGCAGTGAATGAGGGTTGGTAGCAGTCAAAAGGCAGAGAAACACTGCTGATGTGACTCGTCCAGAAACCCTGTTGTCCTTGGGGACATGAAAATCTCTCTTGAAAGACTGTGTTAGTGTAGGTGATAAAATAAATAAATAAATAAAAGGGGTTATCTTCTTTCATGTTAATGCAGAACAAGACTTTCAAGAGCTTCCTCAGCCAAGATGGTACATGTAGCTGAAGTTGCACCTACTCTGGGAATAAAGAAGAGTTTTGCCTGATCTGATGGCTCTCATATCAAGAAAAAATCTAGTCTTTACAGGCCTGTAGATGGTTTCTAAATTCTTTATGCAGCAGCAGGAGGAGGAATTGTAGCTGGTTTGGGGCTTCATTGCTAGTCTCTGTGAGTTAAATAATGACAAATTACATGGGGAAAAGTGTGGCTTGGTCTTCAAAATATGCCAAGAAAGGAAGTGTGCATAACTGATTTTCAGCTTTTTTCTTTCATTTTTCCAAGAGGATAAAAAACTGGCAATTTCCCTTACAAAAAGTGGAAGAATGACATTGAGAATTGGTAGATGTACTATTAGAAGTCCACACATCTGCTTTTACCTAAAGTGGACAACATTTATTAGGGTAGAAAAATAACTCACAAGAGCATTACTTTTGGAAGTATAGATAACAAGATGAATATTCATAGATAACCAGATTAATGTTCACCTCTGAAAACAGTTCTAACATGAAGTTTCTCCCAAGGCCGTTGTACTGACTGTCTATTCAGTATCTGGAAACTATATGGTAAGAATGTTGTTCTATACAAGTGGGCCAGTGCACAAGGTGAACAACGATCATCTGGTAGGCGATTGTTGTCCTCCTTTCCTGTGATGTAGAACAGAAGTTGTGGACTTCATAGGTGTATAGTCACTGCAAGAGGATCACTCACTGCAGCACAAGGAACAGAAGCTGAATGGACTATACCCAGGCCACAAGGGGACAGTCAGTGAAGATCTCTACTGCTGGGTAGGGTCGACACATTTTTGCTTGTATTCCACTCTGAATGGCCTTGTTGATTCCTAGCACTCAGTGTAGCTCTCTGAGATAAAGCAATGAAATAAGCCTTGCTTATAGCACTAGTTCATACGAGCGTTTTTGCAAACAGATTTGGCACTGGAAGAAAATAGCTGTTGTCTAGCAAACCAAAATCTGCAAAAGTGGAAATGACTTTTTGTTTTGCAACAGATGAAGCCAAGTTAGCAGATGAGGTTTCAAACCATTTACACAATAGAAGTTGAAAACAGATATTCCAGTCATATTTTCATTGTATTAGAATTGCTAGAAGAGCTTTAAGTTCTGAAATATTTCATAGCTTTTCCGTTCAAATCTAGACTTGAACAATGGACATAATGTAATCGTTTATGGCATAGTATATATATGTCTAGGCTGATGTATGTCTACATTTTGGGGGAAAAGTTGATTCAAAGGTCAGTTAGGAACAGACAAAATCAACTTACCCAAAAAAGACTGAAAAGCCATATCACATGGTTGTGCTCCCAATAAAGTGGTTGGCTTGATGGGCTGGACTGCAGGGAAGTTGTTTCTGAACAACAGACTACTGCTGAAATGCAGACCTTTGCAGAGTGTTGGAAACTGCCCTAAGTTGTTTTTGGCTTTTGTGACCATCTCTTATATTGAGAGTATTTTTTTCTTTCTAATTCACTATTTAAAGACCCTTTTCCATTTGGCCCGTTTTAATGGTAATTTGGGCTGTATTTTCAGCATCTGTTTTTTTTTCAGTATCCAAGCAGCAGACTGCAAAAAGTCAAGTATGAATTCAGCCTAGGTTGACTGGCATTTATTTGGCCTCTGGTTTTGACACCTATAACAGTGCAACCTCTGTCTTCACCTCAAGCCTTGTGAGAGAAGGACTGTGTGATAGGTGCTGTGGTAGGCCACAAGATAGGCGGCTGTCTGACCCCAAGCAGATCAGGAAAGGCATTTGAGATAACACAAATTCAACCAATGATTCAAAGCTACTTCCCTCCTTTTTTGAACCTGTCACTAAAATAATCAGAAAAGAGTTTTCCTGGAAAGAATAGAGAAGTTAGGGGTTAGGCTGCTACAGTTATTAGTTAGAATAAAGGTGGAATTTTTAAATGATACCATTATTTCTAACTGTTTTTCATGCAAGCTTAAGCCCCAAAAGCCTGTCTACATCCCCACAGTGAGTTGTATCCTTGTCCTGCCCTTTCCAAACCACAGCAGAAGGTGGTAGCTGAAATGACTGTTAGTGTTACTCACTTCTCACTTGCCTGTCTTGGGGAAACCAGAGGTTAATTCCTGCTCCCCGAAGCTTCAGGCTAGAGACTATGGGCTTTCACTTCTTGTTGGAGGAAGGAGTGCAAAACAGCAGTTGCGCTAGGCCTGGCCTTTCCTGTGTGAACAGTCCTAAATTTCAAGTCAGAAAATAATCTGCTGCTTCA